TTGAATGGTACATATGCCAGCATCGAGTGGTGTGATGAACTAACTAAAACTTTGAAAGACTCTCAGAAAGCTGAGCTGCTCAAGATGAGCTCTTATAAGAATTTCAGGAAAGTTTGGTTCTTTGGAAGCAAAGTGAAAATACATAACTAGGCCAATGAAAAAGAAATGAAGGGTGGCACTGGCTCAAAACCTTTGCACTGTGCTGTTTATTGGCTGTTTTTGTTTTGTAAATATAAACAAGCACCTGCAAATGCCTTAATGGAATCACTATGAGCACTTCTTTCAGTTGAATCAAAGGGTTGAGTCTTTTTCTTGATATTGTAGTGAGACAAATACAGATGAAAGGCTGTCTCTCCTTCTATTCAGAGTCATTATTCAATAAAGAAATCTGCAGCTGTGCTGGGCATAGGCACTGAGAATGTGGTTGTGGTGAAATGTGATGAAAGGTGAGTAAGGTGCATGCTAACCACACCTGACATTAACCCGGCCTAATCAAACATGTTTGCTCACCTGTCCCAGTTTGTCTGTATTCATTTATATGTTTTGCTAAAATTGTTCCAATAGGAGAAGATATTTGATATTATGTTTTATAGATATTAAAAAACAAAAGACAATAAAAATATTTTTATAGTGATGTGTGTCTTACATTATATTACATAATTTCCTCTGATTCTGATACACTATATATCAATATATTGCATATATTTGGCATAAATAGATTTGATTTTCATGTGTTATAGATTAATGAAAGGGAATAGCACATTTCTATTTACTGAACGTGTATACACTTTTTGTTTAAGAGGGAAAATTATTCCTGCAGCACTTGAGACTTCCATTGCCACAGCTAAAGAAAAGGTATGAATGGAAGTTTTTTTAAAAATACATCAGTAAAAACAATCCTTGTCAGTACAAATGCCCGCCTCTCTCTAGGGTTTGGTTCCTTTCTATGTGAACGCCACAGCAGGAACTACTGTGTATGGAGCCTTTGATCCCCTTAATGCCATTGCAGACATCTGCCACACACACACACTCTGGATGCACGTTGATGTAAGTGCTCGCTACACCTCTCCCTGCTTTCACACAGACGACATTATTTACAGTGTAACCTTTGACCTACACCAAAATGTTTTCCTAAAATCAAATGGATTACAGTGCGCATACTTGCTTTTTGTCTTCAGTAACAAGGGTGGAACAAGGAAAAAAATTTATGCACCTACTTCAGGAGTAATACAATATACACTCAAACCAGTCTCTCTGTGTGCATAATAGTATATTATTACATTTGAGTTGAGTCTTTCGTGCACCAGTTTTATTTGCCGTTTTGTGTGTTTGAGAAAAGAGAATCTGAAATCTAAAATCAGGAAGATATGTCTGTGAAGGTTCTCAGTCATCCAGGTCATCGTAGTCAAAGGAGCTTGCAAAGAAAAGC